TTTCTAAATGTTTTCTTTGGATTTTATTTTAAATCTTTGAGTGCATGAATGGTGGAATAAGTTATAAGATAAAAACTGAAATTTCAAGTACAGTGTGCTAAGTTTATACTAGCCGTATGTCCCTAGATCCCATGGGATCATGGGAGAAGCTGTCTGTAGAGCTGAGTGGAGGGTGTGAGAAGTCACCTGCACAGAGTGAAAGATTTGACATTGATAACTGAGTGGTTTATGTGGTTGATAGAAAAAATAGCATGATCTTACTCTTTTTAAATGATTTTTTAAAAATTTTATGATACAGTTCCATAGGCTCAGGGATTTTCTCTTCTACCATGTCTCACTCTGTTCCCCTCATTTCTACCCTTATATTGTAACAACAGTTTAGTTCCTCAACAACTGTCACAAGTCCATCATTTTGCTGTTTGAGTGTACCATAACATTGTAGGTATAGGCAATGGTAGAAAGCCCAGCATTCTAGTGTCAGCACGTATTTAACAGTTTCATTGGGATTCCATGTTCTATTAAGAAGTAGAGATTCATGATATGCTTGTCTCCATTATAGGAATCCTTTGGATAAATATATGTATATACATGCTTACCTGTTGAGATTGTATTTTGCTTGAAGGTTGCCTTATATGAGACAGAACATACTATATTTGTCCTTTTGAGATTGGCTTGTTTCACTGAGCGTAATGGTCTCTAGTTGGGACCATTTTGTTGCAAATGGTAGAATTTCATTCTTTTTGGTGGCTATGTAGCATTCCATGGTGTAGATGTATTACGGTTTCTTTAACTACTCCTCTTTGGAGAGATGTCTGGATTGTTTCCCTCTGTTTGCCATTGTGGACTGTGCTGTTGTAAATATAGGATTATGGATCACTTTCTCATATGCAGATTTCATTTGCTTTAAATATGTTCCCAGAAGTGGGATAGCTGGTTCATATCGTAGGTCAATTTTCTGTCCTTCTTGTACTCTCCACTACTAATTTCCATAGTGATTATACTAGCCTGCACTCCCACCAACAGTGAAGAAGGGTACCTCTGTCCAATATCCACACAAGCAGGTGTTTTTTTGTAGCGTTCTGAATGTAGACCAACCTCACTGGAGTTAGGTATATACCTCAATGTGGTTTTCATTTTTATCTCCTTGATAGACAAGGAGCCTGAGCATTTTTCATATGTCTGTTAACCATTTGAATTTGTTGTTGTGAAAAAATGCCTAATCATACCCTTCACCCATTTTGTCATAGGGTTGTTTGTTTTGCTGTCAGTTGTGTAGTGTGTAAAGATTTTCTCCTATTCTGTTGGTTGCTTCTTCACTTTGTTAATAGTTTCCTATGCTGTAAGAAACTTTTCAGTTTGCTGTATTCCGATTTTTCTATTTTGGGTTTGACTACCTGTGCTTTTGGTAAATCTTTCAAGAAATCTTTCATCAGTTTGATATCTAAGAGTGTGCTTCCTCTGTTTTTCTCTAATAGTTTGATGTTTTTCTCTAATATTTTGATGTTTTCAGGGTGCAGATTTAGGTCCTAGATACATTTTGAGTTGATTTTTATATGAAGTGAAAGACATCAGACTCTGTAGGCTGCTATTCAGTTGTCCCACCAGCATTTTTCCCTGGGTCTTTTTTCAGTTTTCTGGTTAAAGATGAGTTGGCTGTACATGTGTGAGCTCCCTTTGGGGCTTCTGTTCTGTTCTGCTGATGATGTGATTCTAACATGAAATGTATAAAAAGGGTGAGCTCACAGAAGACCTATAAGTATAGTGGTGACTGCCAGGACTGTCAGATGACATGGAGAGAAGGACAATGATTAAAGGTTGATTGGCAGATACTAAATTAGCTGGAGAGAACTGGGAAGTTCAGGGATTCTATTGCATAATAAGGTGCAATATATGTTAAAGTATAGCATATTTGTGAATAGATTTAGTTTACTATAGAGAAATGCTGAATGTTTCAGGAGATCAATATATTTACCCTGAATAGACATTGTGCAGTATGAATATGTATCAAAATATCAGTGGCATCCCAAAAAGTACAACTTGTGTGAGTGTGTTAAAATACTGTAATATAGGAATTTTTGGAAATTTGAAAGGGGCCAACACCATGACTCTACAAGCTAATCCTTCACCTTTAAGAATTGGCATCACATATGGAGATGCCAGTTCATGTCATAGCTGCCCAACCTCTGATTCAACTCCATGCTTATGGCCTGGGAAGGCAGCAGAGGATGGCCCAAAGCCTTGGGACCCTGCACCCCTTTGGGAGACCCAGAGGAGACTCCTGATTTCATATCACTTCAGCCATCATGGCCATTTGGGGAGTGAACCAGCAAATGGATTATTTTTCTCTCTTTGTCTCTGTAAATCTGCCTTTCAAATAAAAGTAAGCATATCTTTAAAAAAATTGTATGAAAGGTTTTGGGACATTTGTTAGACTGTTAGGACTAACTGAATTCATTCATTCATTAAAATACAGTGTAGTAATAGTTGCTGGCTATTTTGTTGGTTCTAAAGAATAGTGTTTGGACTGTATTCATGAATTTTATCTAAAAGCATGGGTCTCCTCTGAGTGTGAAGTTTGGGCATGCTAATGAATAACATGAATCAAAATGAATTCAAATGATCAAATGAATAAAAACCTTGTGAGACATGGAACCATAACATGATAGCAATTCACTCTATATGTGTGCATTTATGTTATACATACCTTGCCATGATTGGCACATGATTTGGCTCCTGAGCGCATGCAGGTGTTTCATCCCCAGAGTCATAAGAAGATGACACCTAGAGGATGGGAACTTAACCCAATTCTGGTGGTGAGGAATTAGATCTCACACTAGGAAGTTGCCACATTAGCCAAGCCCAAGGTTACTGAGAGTCTGTGGGAGCCTTTCCTGTGCTAGTTCCATCCTTGCTAGTTGACTGCATTCTTGGAAACACTTGACCATGAACTTGCACCTCCCAAACTGTGAACCAAAGCAGCCTTTGATCTTTATAAGGATACCTTCTTGGGTGTATGTTAAAGAATACTAATATGTACATATATGCCAGATCATCACATTATATGTTTGAAATGTAGAAAGTTTAATTTGTCAAATATACTTGAATTAAAACGGGGGGAAGAAAGAAAAGAATCTAATACTGTGTCTGGAGAGGACCATGCAAGGTATTTGACTTCAGTTGTTGATGCTGTATTATGCCAAAGAAAAATAAGGTATTTCATTAAAGTTTTTACAGCAATATGAATAAGTTGCAAAAGGGCAGGTTTCTTGTTAAAGAAACTGAGTGGGTATTATTTTGTCTATGGAAAACTTAACATTTTTGATGTTTGCCAGCTTGTCATAAACTAGCAAAAAAGGCAAAATTTATTTTTTGGGAAAATATCTATTTATTTTTATCTGAGAGGCAGATTTTACAGAGAAGTAGAGACAGAGAGGTCTTTGATTCACTGGTTCACTCCTCAGATGGTCATAATGACCAGAGTTGAGCTAATCCAAAGCTGAGAGCCAGGAGCTTCTTCCAGGTCTCCCTTGTGGGTGTAGGGGTCCCAGTTTTGGAGCCATCCTCCTCTGCTTTCCCAGGCCATAAGCAGAGAGCTGGCTCAGAAGTGAAACAGCCAGGACACCAACTGGCACCCATATGGAATGCTGGCACCACAGGGTGGAAAATTAGATTGCTACACTACCATGCCAGCCTTGCAGTGTTGCTTCCTTAACGTGGTACTTTTGGCCAGTTAAGCCATGGTTGATTTCGATGAGTTCAACTGTGTTCATTTGTGTGAAAATTCATTGAATAAACTTACATATTTTTTCTTATTCAATAAAGTCATAAAGTTCATTTTATACGTTGGTCAGTGAGCTCTATTTTCATGTTAAGAATACTAACTTTTTGTCATTACTGTTGGCTCTCCTCTTGACTTATAAACACCATCTGTGTTCGCACACACTATGAACTTAAGAATAAGTTGCCACATTTTTATTTTTATTTATAATATTTTTGAAGATTTCTTGTATTCAGCCATCGTATTATGGTTTATCACCAATGAGGATAGAGTGGAGACAATGAAAAAGAGAGGATCCTCAGTGAAATGGAGAATATCTTGGAAGGTACAACTTTCATTTTAATCTGGTGATTTAGGATTATAGTAGGGGAGATTGTAATTACACTAGAATCTCAAATTGACCCCACATTAGGATACCCTGTACTATGGTATATACTTTATTATCCTGGGAGTAAGGTCTTTTGAAAACAATCATACAACTCTTTTTCTTCCGGGGAGCTGGTATATTTCAAGTGAGTAATGTTTAGGGGCCAGGAAAATTGTGTTTACCTTACAGCCTGTGCACCATCATTTAAAAATGTGATCAGGTTCCCTGCTTGTAAAATAGATGTATCTGGAAGAGAAACAGGCTGTGTGTGTGTGTGTTTAAAACTATGGATGTGTGTATGAAGAAATCTGTTATTAAACATTGGTTCAAATGGTAATGGTGCCTTACAAGAACCAAATTTGTAAGGTCAGTCAGCAGGCCAAAGTCAGGGAAGCAGAAGGTAAAAGTCTAGTCTGAGCCTCAAGACGTGAGAACCAGGAGAAGCAATGATAGTGCCAATCTCACAGACTCAATGCCTAGTAAGCCTCATTGTTTCCATTTTACCATGAAGTCGTGAGCAAAGTATTTAAAAATTGGTATTCCAGTTAGAAGACAGCCAGGGAAAAGGAATCCTGTCTTACTTGGGAGTGGATCTGCTTTTATATTTTCCTCAGTATCTCAACTGATTGGATAAGACCCAACCACAGCAGGAAGGGCAATATGGTTTGTTCAGTTGTCCAAAAAAATCTCATAGACACAGAGAACTATTTCATCAGATGTCTGGGCATCTAAGGACGTGGTGAAGTGGGTATGTAACATCACAGTAGTCCTCACAAAGGAGGCTTTACAATAGCTCATTATTATTTATGGCATGCTGTTCATTGCTGTTGATTTTTCTCCTCCCACCCACTGCAGGAATTATCTACTCAGCATCAATGCTCAGTCATTTGGAATCTGCCACACTGTTGTTGATAGTCAGTGCTCAGGATGGCGGTGGGCTCACAGCTGACACAAATGCTCACGTCACTCTCCACCTTCTCCAGACCATGCTGGCACCTGCTGAGTTTGAAAGGCCCAAGTATACGTTCTCAGTTTATGAAGATGTGCCCATCAACAGTCTTGTTGGAACAGTGAAAGCAAGAGAGCACTTGAGTAAGTACTCATTCCTTACACTGAATCAGAGCCCATTATTGGAATATTTCACATGATCCCTGAGGTTATGGAATCTTTTTTTAATTTTAATTTTTTTGATAATGCAGTTTGATAGTTATTGGGATTTCCCATCCCCCTCCCAAAGCTCCCTCCCCTTCCCACTGATTTTCCCTCCAGTTTTATAGTGGGTGTCCTTCATGAACAGTCATAAGTCCATGATGCTGTTAGGTTATAGATTTTTTTTTAATTTTTATTTTGAATTTTGAATTTTATGATGCAATTCTGTAGAGTCTGCGCCCCAACATTGCTGGTACAGACAATGTCAGACAGTCCAACATCCCATTGTCTAAATATGTCCAATAATTTCACTGGGAGTTCATCTATGATCTAGAAGGAGGTATGCATATTGCAAGGTATCTTCACATCTGGGTATGGTAGTCTCTACTATGCCATCACTATACATTCCCTTAAATGAGAAGCCACAAAATAAGGTCAAGAACAGGTATGAAATTAAAACAACACTACCAACAACAACAAAAAAATTACAGTACCATGGAGTCAAAAAAGTGCCACTGAATAATCAACACATGGGTGACAAAAAGAAAACACAAAAGTCTAATTCGCATGATGATTTGCTTATGTTACAGAGAATATACGGTATTTGTGTTTTTAGAATTGGCTTATTCTACTGAACATAATGGTCTCTAGTTGGGACCATCAGGTAGCAAATGGTATAATTTCATTCTTTTTAATGGCTGATTAACATTCCGTGGAGTAAATGTACTCAGTTACTTTATCCACTCCTCTTTGGACAGGCATCTCAATTGTTTCCATGTCTGCCACTATAGATTGTGCTGCTGTAAATATAGGATCATAGATCTCCTTTTTATATGCAGTTTTTATTTGTGACTATTTCTAAGAGTGGGATATCTGAGTCCTATAGCAGGTTTATTTGCAATTCTTTAAGCATTCTCCATACTAATTTCCATAGAGGTTGTACTAGTCTGCACTGCCACCAGCAGTGAAGGAGCGTATCTTTCTCCCCACATCCACATCAATAGGTTTTGTTTGTAGAGTTCTGAAAGTAGGCCAGCCTCACTGGAGTTAGGTGGAACCTCAATGTGGCAATGTGGTTTACATTTTTATCTCCTTGACAGCTAGGGAGCCTGAGCATCTTTTCATATGTCTATTAGTCATTTCAATCTGCTTTGAAAAATGTCTATTCAATTTCTTTTCCCATTTTTTTTCGCAGTTTTTTTTTTAACTGTCTTTGAGTTTCTGCAGCTTTATAATTCCTGGATATTAGTTCCCTACCACTTGTGTAGTGTGCTAAAATTTTCCCGCTTTCTGTTGGTTGCTTCTTCACTTTGTTAATAATTTCCTTTGCTGTACAGAAGCTTTTGGTTTGATGTAGTCCAATTTGATTTAGATTCTTGAACCATTTAGAGCTGATTTTTATATAAAGTGACAGGTGTGGGTCTTGCTTCTTAATTCTACAAGCTGCTATCCAGTTGTCCCAACAGCATTTGTTGAAGAGACCAGCCTGTTTTCCTGGATTGTTTTCAGTTTTCTTTTGGAAGATTAGTTGGCTGTACGTATGTGGGACCTCTTCTGGTGTTTCTATTCTGTTTCATTGATCTTCTCTGTTTCTGTACCAGTACTAGACTATTTTGATGACCACTGCTCTATAATATGTCTGGAGGTCTGGGATTGTGATTCCCCCAGCTTCTTTTTTGTTCTTCAGGACAGCTTTGGCTATCTGTGGTCTTGTTTTTCCAGATGAACTTTTGTATCTTCTTTTCTATTTCTGAGAGGAATGTTGTTTGGATTTTGATTGGGATTGAATCTGTATATTACTTTTGGTAATATGGACATTTTGATGGTGTTGATCGTGCCAATGCAGGAACATGGTAGGTTTCTTTATTTTTCAATGTCTTCTATTTCCTTTTTAAATGTTTTATAGGTTTCATCATTGAGGTCTTCCACATATTTGGATAGCTTAACTCCTAGATATTTAACATTCCTCTCCTCTATTTTAAAGGGGACTCTATTGTGTTCAGTAATGCCATAGATTTATGTTCATTAATTTTGTATCCTGCTACTTTGCCTAAGTTTCTTTTGAGTTCTAGTCTCTTCACTGAGTCCTTTGGTTCTCCTATGTGGAGGATCATGTCGTCTGCAAACAGAGATAATTTCATTTTCTCATGTCCTTTAATTGCCTTTTCTTGTCTAAAAGTTCTGGCAAGGACTTCCAATACTATATTGAAGAGTAATGGAGACAGTGGACATCCCTGTCTAGCTCCAGATTTTAGTGGAAAGGCTTTCAAATCTTTGCCCATTTAGTGTGATGCTTGCATTGGGTTTTTCATAAATTGCTTTGATTGTATAGTAGAATGTTCCTTCTATCTTGCTTAGGGTTTTCAGCATAAAGTGGTGTTGGATTTTATCAAATGCCTTCTCTGCATCTATTTACATGATCATATGGTTTTATTTTTCACTATGTTGATGTGGTATATCACATTTGTTGATTTGCGAATGCTGAACCATCCCCTGCATGCCTAGGATGAATCCCACCTTGTCCAGGTGAATAATCTGCCTGATGTGGCTGTTGGCTCCTGTTGACTCTTATTTTGTTGAGGGTCTTTGTGTCTATATTCATCAAGGATATTGATCTGTAGTTTTCTTTTTCTGTTATGTCTTTATTGGCTTTGGTATTAAGGTGATAATGGCTTCATAGAAAGAGTTTGGAAGGATTGCCTCTTTTTCTATTGTTTGGAAAAGCTTGTGGGTATTGGGGTAAGTTTGTCCTGAAATGTTTTGTATAGCTCATCAGTGAAGCCATTGAGGACATTTCTTGGTTGGGAAGGCTTTAATTACTGATTCAATCTCAGTCCATGCTATAGATCTATTTAGGCTGTTAATTGCTTTTTGAGTCAATTTTCATGGATTGTATGTGTCCAAAAATCTAACCATCTCTTCTAGGTCTTCTGATTTGTTTGCATATAGTTGCTTGTAATAGTTCCTGATGATTCTCTGTATTTCTGACGTAACTGTTGGATCTCTTTTCTCATCTCTGATGCTATTGATGTGTATTTTCTCCCTCCTTTTTTGAATTAGTTGGGCTAGTGGGGAGTCTATTTTGTTGATTTTCTCAAAGAACCAGCTCTTTGACTCATTCATCTTATGTATAGTTCTTTTGGTCTCTGTTTGGTTTATTTCCTCCCTTATTTTTATGATTTCTTCTTTCCTACTAATCTTGGGTTTGCTTTGCTATTGTTTTTCAACTGTAAGGTTAGCTCATTTATTTGGTGTTTTTCCTAATTTCTTAACATAAGCATTGATTGAGATGATCTTAACTCTTAACACTGCCATGATTGTGTCCCATAACTTTTGATGTGTTGTGTTGATGCCTTTATTTGTTTCAAGCAAATTTTTAATTGCCCCCTTGATTTCCTCTCTATCCCATTGCTCACTTAGTAGCATATTTTCATTCTCCATGAATTTACATGTCTTCCTGGGAGTTTTGACTTCTTGGTCTCTAGCTTCATTCCATGTTGGTCTGAGAAGATGCATGATATAATTTTGCTGTTTAAAATTTTGCTGAGGTTTGTTTTGTGGTCTATAACATGGTCAGTTCTGGAGAAGGTCCTGTGTAGTAATGAAAAAAGTATTCTCTGTAGAATTAAAGGTTTGGTATATATCAATTAAGTCCATTTGTCTAGTGTCTAGGTGAGTTCTCTTATTTCTTTGCTGAGTTTCAATCTTGTCAGTCTTTCCATTGATGCTAATAGGGTATTAAGATCCCCCATGTGGGCCCAGAGGCATGGCCTAGCAGCTAAAGTCCTCGCCTTGAACGTGCTGGGATCCCATATGGGCACCGGTTCTAATCCCGGCAGTTCCACTTCCCATCCATCTCCCTGCTTATGGCCGGATAAGGCAGTCGAGGACGGCCCAATGCCTTGGGATCCTGCACCCATGTGGGAGACCCGGAAGAGGTTCCTGGTTCCCAGCTTCAGATTGGCACAGCACCGGCCGTTGCAGTCACTTGGGGAGTGAATTAGTGGATGGAAGATCTTCCTCTCTGTCTCTCCTCCTCTCTGTATATCTGACTTTGCAATAAAAATAAAATAATTTAAAAAAAAGATCCCCCATGATTATCGTATTACTGTTTTCCACTTTAAGTCCATAAATATTTGTTTCACCTAGCTAGATGCCTTGGCCTTTGGTGCATATACCTTTACTGTGGTGATTTCTTCTTGCTGAATGGCTCATTCCAGGTCATCCCTTTTAGTCTGTACTCTCTGTCTCACTACACAAGAGGGCGCCCATTAATGAACTGCCTGACCATCAGAGCTACTGGCTTTCATAGCTGGGGACCACACAGACCCTACAGGATGCAAAGCTGGTGCTGCCCTTCCCGTGGGATCAGCTCTGTGTGATCAATGAGAAACAAACCCACTCTTAGCTGTCTCTTCAACCCTGCACTCACTGCCCCACCACACAAGACAGCATGCAAGCTCCGAGCTATGAGTCCTGTCCTACCACTGGTATGCCCCCTGAAGTCCACAGCCCTTTTTCCGCTCATTTTTTTGCTGAATAGTTATTCAGCTGGATTGGTAAGTCTCAGATTCTACTTGCCTCTCGAGCTCTCCATGCAAACCCAGGCTCCCAACCTGACTGCCATAAGAGCCTAGCTGCAGCTGCCTCTGGATCCCTGGCTCTTGCTGGTGTCTGGCTCCACCGTTTGGTGGATTTTCTGTTCACTGCAATGCTGCCCCACCATTGCTGCTGCTGCCCGATATCCAGGGGTTCTCCAGGTAGATGCTGAAGTCTTTTTTGTTCTTTGTCCATTAGACATTTTCTTTGTCAATCAAAAGATCTAAAAGCATGTGTCACCATTTCAGTAGAACTTATTTTGGAGAAATAAGGTATTGCACAGTATGCTTATGGATGTAATATATATTAGTTCTCAGTGTTTCTATTAGGTAATATTCCATGGATGTAATATATATTAATTCATTCTGAGTGTTTCTAGTAGGTATTATTTTATGAATGTGATACATACTCATTCTCGGTGTTTCTGGTAGACACTATTCTAGTATTCTTTCAGATTCAGCGATAGCTCTCTCTGCCTCTCTTTCTTGGCAGATTCTTCAGCACCAAACGAGTACAGAATTTCCTCTGGGAACCTGGATGAAGCCTTCTCCATTCACCCGTGGCTGGGCACCATTCACACCCGGAAGCCTTTGGACCATGAAACACAGCCCGTGGTGGTGCTCACGGTGCAAGCGCAGCTGGCTGGCTCATCAGCCTGCAGTAACACAGAAGTCAACATCACTGTCATTGACGTCAATGACAACCACCCCACCTTTCTCACAGCCTCAGATGAGATTAAAATACCGCAGAGCACTGCTCCTGGCACAGCCCTCTACCTTGCACGTGCAGAGGACAAAGACAGTGGGCTAAATGGGTTCATCCGCTACAGCATCGCCAGCCCAAATCCCAGCGTCTTTGCCATCCACAGAGAGCTTGGCGTGGTACACCTCAGTGCGAGCCTGGCCGGTGATGGGCTACGTAACCACACGCTCACTGTCAAGGCCCAGGACCTGGGTGCTCCTCCTCGGGCATCGTTCTTGGTCTTGACAGTGGTTGTAGAGCCTCAAGATCAAAGCCCACCTTTGGCTTTTCAAAACTTGATCTATCAAGTGGAAGTTAGTGAGTCTCTGTCACTGATGACACAACTCCTGCAAATACAGGCCTTGCCATGTGGCCCCCAGGCCACAGCCTCTCAGCCTGCATACTCCCTGGAGCCTGGCTTAAGCTCTGCCGTGTTCGGGATCCACCCTTACACAGGCTGGATTTATCTGCGACGACAGCTTGACTATGAGTCCATACAAACATATAGTTTCAGAGCCTTTGCCTGGATCCCAGAGGATAGATTACCGCAAAATGTGAGCACTTCAGTCATTGTTCATGTCCTGGATGAGAATGACAATCCCCCTACCTTCTTGCATGGTGTGTTGTTTTTGAAAGTTGAAGAAAGCCCTGTTCCCCAAGGGGTACTAGGCAAAATTACAGCAGTTGATGCAGACTCTGGAAGGAATGGCCAGCTCTCCTATTTCCTTTTGTCTGATGGAAAATTCTTCAAGATGAATCCCAATACAGGTAGCATTGTGCAGCTTTCACCTATTCTTTTAAAATCAGGGTTGAGAAAACTGGAATCTATAGGTGTAGTGTTAGTACAAAGATACAATTACAGCTTTCTGACCATGTACTGTATTTTATTGCTATTGGTTTATGGTTTTACAATGTAACAAGAAATAGGAGTAGAATTTCATCTGTAATCATCCATATTTCTCTTGGCTCATGCTTACTTTGCCAGTACAAAACATGAACTGCCTAACGAGGTTTTGAACAGCAAACTGCATAGGTGACTGTGGTCCTATGGAATTATAGTGCAGCCTGAAATATTACTATATCATGCTTTATGTGTTTAGATACACATTTGCAGTTTGTTGCATAGATTTGTGCCCTGGAAGCAGTAGGCTGTTACCATGTTGCCTAGGTATGTGGCAGGATAAAGGGGAGAGGGTTGCAGAACACACTGCGACACCCTACCAGCAACAAATTCCCCCAAAGAAGCTTTTCTAGGAACAGATTCTTGTGCCATGAAGTACTGGGACTGGACTAAATCCGTGCAAGTTGGTTGGTTTGCACCCGTTATTCTTTATCATTTGTGGGCATTTATGAGGTATTAATGTCTGTCATGTGAAGCTGGAAACTAATCCAGTTCTTAAAATTTCAAAATCATTCCAGTAATAGTAACCTATTTCTCAATTTCCATTCCTAGAAGGAAAGGGGGAAGAATGAGAGTGAGATTTTTATGAGGTCTTTAGTTAAAAACTAAATAGGAGAAGCTATTGCATTTTAAAATGTATATCATGAATACTTCACCAAGACTTTGTTCCCCACAACACATGTGTTTATATTACACTTATGCAGCTAGGGCAGCACAGACTCTGAGAACAAATCACAGTACAAGTAGGCGGTGTGAGGAAGCCACCATCTTCGCAATGGGTGATGGCCAGTGTAAGGAGCCAGACTTTGAATTGACTTCTGGTGGACTCTGACCTTAAGGCCTCCACGTGTGTGTGCGGCTGCGCAACAGCCAGGACCTTTCACCCTGAGGCATCTGGCTTCCAAGGAAGGGAGCTGTGTCAGTCCAGGAGCCCTTCTGCAGGACACCAGTTGATCAGGGCACACCTGGCCCTGCTCGCACTGGACCGTGTAAAGTGTTCTTGATCGTCCCTGTGATTATGCACATTATTTTTTAATGTACAGATTAGGGTTACTTCCTCCATCATCTTCCTTCTCCAGTTAATCCAGCCCCCAGAATCAGGCACCATATGTTCATTGCTTATTTTAGCGAACGATTTGAAACAAGTAGGTTCATTTCAGAACTTTTATTTCCTTCACAGCAGTGGGGAGCCATCCTCTGTGAGCTAAAAAAAAGCTCACCAATGTATGAGAAGGGTTCTGAAAGGACTGTGCAATGGGGAGCCATTTCCATTCACAGAGAACAGACAGTATGGCAAGGCAGGGGTGGAGGAAATCCTTCAGAATGTGGTAACCAGCCTGCCCTGGTGTTCTGCTGCCTGAAGCACTCTTCACAGTGGTCAGGACTCCAATGCCCATGGCAGCCAGCCATTCCCACCCACCCAAGCCTCAGGCTGGGCCTGTGGGGTTTCATATGTCCTATCTCCGAACAGCTTCTATGCATCAGTTGGGGTCATTGAAGCATGAAGGATCTTCAAAACATTTTCAGAAAGTGTCCATTATTAAAAAGACACTCTGCATGAACTTCAAAATATTTTCTGACAAAATCAATTTACCTGTAATTTACCTGTTTATTGAGAACTTTTGGAAATACTATTGTAAACATCAATTTGCCATTCAGAATTTAGAGTGTTCAAGGACTTACTGTTAGGAAATTTTTTTACATACTATTTTATTATTTTTGAGATAGCATTTTTAATTTACATTTTAGTCAAAGGGTTAGTGGGATACTAAATAAAAATTCATCAAATGAAAAATATAAAAATCCAGTAGGCAAGTAGGCCAGGGTTACAAAAGGAAATCAAATGAAAAGATATTCAACTTCAATCGTTAAAAGTAAATATTGAAAGCCACAGAATCATTACAACTATAGTAATATATGGTTCCTATCAATCTCTTCTAAAAAATTAGCACAAAGTTTAACGAGGCAGTTTGAAAACTTTAAAAATGCAGTTGTATGTATAATTTTTATTAAAATCAAAGTTAGAGTGGACAATCTATAGTAATCATGTATGTAGCAAGTAGTTAAGCCTCACCAATCCAGTAGCTTACCCAAATATGAATGCTTTGTTCCTCATTTCAACTTTTACTTGAAAAGAATGCAGTGTCACTTTATTTGAACTAGGAGGATAAATTCTTGGTGGTCAGAATCTTGGGCAGACACTTGGTGCTTTCTCACACACAAAATTTGTCATGGCTCGCTGGCTAGCTGACACCCTGGCTCACTTCCTAGCCGGTACTGGCTACTGCTGGAGATGCTGCCGACAGAGAAAGGCGGCTGTGATTGGAGGCCTGATGCTCCACGGCTGACGCTTGGGGCAAGGTGCCACGGGCACTGCATTTCCAGGCAAGGGTCTGTCGGACTTCAGAATGAGTCAGGATGTTGCTGCCTGTGGCTACACATTGATTTCATGAGATTTGAAAAAAAGCCCGAGATATATGAAAAGCAAACTATTGCCAGAGGAACGCTGTGATTCTCCAAAAGCATCTTGCCATTATTCTAGTGTAATTCTTGCCATGTGTAATGTAATTCACAGCTTACAGAATGCTTTTAGATCTGTGGTTATATTTGCCTTGTGACAACAGCCCCAGGAGGTAGATTCACATAGCGCTTTGACTGGGGTATGGGTGACAGAGCGAGTGGGAACTGTGGCTCAAACCTAGAACTTGTAATGTCAAACCTCATGTACTTTCCATTATTCTTTATGGTGGGTTTTAAAAAATGCAGATTATGAAAAAAATGAATGCATTTCAAAATTTTTTTGCATTAAAAAATCTTTGCTGAACACCGACTTTCCATAAACTTTCGGAAGCAGCTTCCTGCTGCAATAAAAAAGACTACAGTCATTTTGAATATTCGTTATTATTACTAAATTCTTGCAGAGATTGTAACATGTTTTATGAATCCGGTTTAAAAAAAAAAATTGGAATGGTTGATGATAGACTCTGACCATTTAAAGTGGCGTTTTCAAGAGCCACTTTCGAACAGAGCCAGGCAGTTCACTCTGCGGCCTGGAAAGTTGTGCTTTTGCCCAAATGTTACTCTTAGTTTCTCCTTCCTGAGATTTGTTTTGGAGACTGTTCTTAGCGCCAGTTTGCTGCCACACCGCGTGCTAATGGCTTCGGCTCTGTTCTGTATTCCTCAGGTGAATTGATGAGCTGGCTGGCACTGGATCGGGAGCTTCAGATGCACCACCAGGTGACTGTCCTGGTGACTGACCATGGCTCCCCTCCGCGGAACGCCACCACCACAGTCCACATCACAGTGTCCGACGTCAATGATAACAGACCGTTTTTCCCGCAGTGTCTCCCTGCAGGAGAACTGCACATCAAGGTTTGTGGAGTTGGAATGGCTTATGCAATGAATGCATAGTATCCCCAGTCACTTGTTTTGAGCACCATCTTGTGGTAAAAGCTGTGAATTTACCAAAATTTGTTTTGGTGTGGCAATGCATACATTTCTAGAAGACCTAGAAATTCAGTTTCTTTTCTTTTCTTTCTTTCTTTTTTTAAAAGACTTTAACAAGGAGAAAGAAATGAATGTATGTTGTGTGTGGGGTAGGATTCTGTGGTTGAAGAGACAGAAGGAGTGTGTCTTTGGTCTGCAAACACAGTGGCTTGGTAATCTTGTCCTTGGAGTGTTGTGGTTGAAACACCCAGAGCATCCGAGGGCAGTTGCCTCCGAGCTGGAGTTCCACTCTGCACTTGATTTCGGTATTCCAGGAGCGTGTCTGCTCATTTGAAAGAGGTTTCCTGAAGGAAATTTCCTGGTTTTCTGAAGCAGGTGGTTTTTAGTCCATCACATTCACTTCTTAATCAATATCCTTAAACATTGATGAATGCTCGTTTTTTTTTCCCCACGGAATTTATTGAAGTGTCACAGATAATTCAGGTTAAAAGGACTTCACCTGTGCAACAATTGTACGGTAGACATTTGAATCGTCTATGGATTTTTCTGTGGGTTTTCGATAGATTTTCAAAGAGCTCTAAAGGTCATTATCTTTAGAAGGTCTTAGTTCATGCTTGAGGTCACAGGTCTGTTGCTTTGTATATCACTAACTCCTTTGCAAACCTTTTTTTTTTTTTAATGACAGGTTCTGGAAGGGCAGCCCATAAACATGTTGGTTACAACTGTGTTTGCGAAGGATCTGGATGAAGGCAACAACGCGGAAGTTACATACTCAGTCTTTTCAGGAGGTACAGACCGTTGTTTAGGTTTAAGAGTCTATCTTTCTGGGAAAATAACTTGTATGACAATCTCCCAGATTAACTTTGAAAATAACAACCAAATTACAAGTAAAATACATTTTTAACATAAAAAAAAATCAAAGGTATTTTGTAAAAAAAAATTATTTCAAAAGCCTAATGAAAAGTATGACTTTCTGGGTGGGGTACTTTTGGCCCATGAGCCATGTAAGGCCCCATTAAATCATTTTGTCTGGCCCTGCCTGGGCCACAGCAGGCAAGACTCCAAATCTATAGCAGGCTAATTTTCAAGTTGAAATTTTTTTCATGACTCAGAAATTGTGTTGTAAACATCCAAATGACCCTTGACAGAATAAGATTGCCCATCCCTGAATGGTAACCATCTATCCTACATGAATAACTTACAGTAAGCTGAAGTACAAATCATCTTTTATTAAAAAGAAAGCAGGAACTACTTAATAAGAAGTGGCATTGAACATGACTACAAATGCCAAAACTCTGTGAAGTCTATGAAAGTTACTCTTAGAGTCAGTCATATCCGGAAAATATCATGTATGTATGCCTCACCAGGTATGCACACATGGGAATTTTATTAAGAGAGATTACACTGTGTCATTTAAAGAAAAAGGTTTATGTATTTATTTGAAAGTCAGATAGAGGGAGAAGGAGACAGAGAGAGATAATCTTAAGTCCACTGGTTCATTCCCAACATGACCCCAGTGACTAGGAGTAGGCCAGGTTGAGACCAAAAGCTTCATCCAAGTCTCCCACATAGGTGTCAGGGGCCCAAGCACTTGGCTATCTTCCACTGCTTTTCCCAGGCCATTTTCAGCGAGCTGGATCAGAAGTGGAGCAGTGTGGATTTAAATTGGCATGCTGATGGGATACCAGTATGGCAGCAGCTTTATGTGCTATGCCACAGCACTGGGTCCACTTTTTGCTTTTCTCTTTTCTCTTCTCCTTCTCCTTCTCTTCTCTTCTCTTCTCTTCTCTTCTCTTCTCTTCTCTTCTCTTCTCTTCTCTTCTCTTCTCTTCTCTTCTTTTTCTTTTCTTTTCCTTTCTCTTCTTTTCTTTTCTTTTCTTTTCTTTTCTTTTCTTCTCTTTTCTTTTCTTTTCTTTTTTTAGTAAATACAGGCCTTAGGCTTGCTCCAGTCATCAAATTTAGTTGGTTTTGTATTTTAAGCTATCGTTAACATTTTTTTGTTTTATTTTTGGAGTTTCTGAGAAGTTATTGAGGATTTATATTCCATTAAATAGTTCAATAAAGATTGGTTCATCATAAATATAGTCAAGGAATTTAATAATAATTAAATGAGAAAATTTCATTCATATACATTAAATTTTAAAATAATCACAGATCACTAGAACTATAGTAGTATATACCCTTCCTAATGATTTGTTACAATAAGATATAAAACAAAGTTTGACAAAACTTTGCTAAAGACAACTGTTTCTTTCTTGTGTTTGATACACACATAGGAAAACAAAAATCAACATTGCCCATATCTGCAGATAAAATCTAATCATCTCTGCAAAAACCCCAAAAGACGCTCCGGGCAAAGTGTTAAAGCCTGCCAGGCTTTCTGGGAGGAGTGCCAATGTACAAAACCCACTCGCACTGCTAAAATTCAGCACCTTAGATTCTCACAAGAAAAGATCCAGCTTTGTGGTGTAGCAGGTTCAGCCACCACCTGCAGTACCAGCACCCTATGTGTGCATTGGGTTCAAGCTGTGGCTGCTCTGTCTACCAGTCAACTGTGTTTTAATGCTCCTGGAGAAAAAGCGGAAGATGGTCCAAATGCTTGGACCCCTGCTACCCATGGGGGAGTTTTAGGATCCTGGTTTCTACCAGTCTAACCCAGACTATTTGGACCATTTAAGGAGTGAACCAGTGGAGAGAAGTGATCTGTCTGTTTCTCTCTCTTTTGAAATAAACAAATTGAAATCATGGAATACAGGACAGACTTACATCAGGGAGGGAAGACCCTCATTTTGAGCCCTTTCATTTGATTTGGCTCTTCTGGGGGATGGGAAATGGACCCTGTTCTCTGTGATATTATCCTGCTGTTCTCAAAGAAAGACACATTATAAAGCTTTCAGAACTACCCATGTCATCATATGTCCTTGGAACAGAGAAAATTCCACTAAATATATACAAAGAAAGAAGGCAGTTTTACATAAATACATATTTATTACCTGATTTGACCAGTACATAATACGTATATGTGCCAACATATCACATTGTATCCAATAAAAATGCACAATTATTACATGCCACTATAAATGAATCTTTAAAAAGGCACAAAACTTTTGGGTGAAAATCAACAAAATATTAAGGAAGAATGTAAAATACTCCCTGTCATGACCCCAAGAACTTCTACCTGGCCCAACTCCCGAATGACATTATTTTTTTAAAGATTCATTTCTTTTTATTGGGAATACACATATACAGAGAGGAGAGACAGAGAGGAAGATCTTCTGTCCAATGGTTCACTCCCCAAGTGAGCGCAACGGCCGATGCTATGCCAATCCGAAGCCAGGATCCAGGAACTTCCTCCAGGTCTCCCATGCAGGTGCAGGAACCCAGGACTTTGGGCCATTCTCAACTGCTTTCCCAGGCCACAAGCAGAGAGCTGGATGGGAAGTGGAGCTGCCAGGATTAGAACTGGCACCCATATGGTAACCCAGAGCATTCAAGGCGCAGACTTTAGCTGCTGCTAGGCCACCACACCAGGCCATCAAATGGCATTACTGAATTAAGTTTTGAACATTTAGTCCTGCTCATTTTGGGCTTCAAATTATGACAGCAGGTCTTAGACAGGAAATCTGCAAAATTAGTCTGCAACTTTTAATTCTAATAGATACAGAGAGGTTCTAGATGACTACTAAGTTTGTGTCCAAAGCACCCAGCATCCAACCTTGGGAGGATTTCAGTGTTGAAGGTTGGGACAGTTTTAATGTCAATAGGGGTAATAATGACAGTAAGCTAAAACACATGCTTACCTTCATGCTTAAGGATTCTTAAAATGAAAGCAAGCTGTAACTTTGCTTATCCCAGTTGTAACATGATAGATTAAGAAAAAGACAACCTGTTATTTAAAAAAAAAACTATTAAGTAGAAATTTAGCATTACGTATGTATCCTGCCTTATCTGCAATGAACTATTCCACTGGGTCCCTCCCTCACCCCTCCCCCCCAAAAAAAAGATGGGGCAAAGTTTTTCTTGACTGCAACATTCCAGCTAATACAAGCAGAAGTGATAATAAACCACAATACTGTACTTTGCTGCACTTAATGAATCCGTAGGGAATGTATGCTATATATCAACAGAGGCCAATATCAGGAACAGAAACCAGCTAGGTACTGGGCTCTAGAAGGAAACACAGCATTTGTGATATAATCCCACCCCCACCCCCCTGCCAAATCAAGTCTGAGTTGAGTCTAAAGAATCCCCTAGTTTTGCTTCTAATTTTAAGGAAAACACATTGCTCAGAGGAACCTAAGCTACCTGTGGAAAATACAACCACCAAATCTAGATAATAGGAAACTTCAGAAGCCATGAGCCTGCTTTTTTTTTCCCTCTTATTTTCAAATCAATTATTGCAAGGTTTTAAAAAAAGAGATAGATGGCAGGAATCGATAGATTGGAGAATCATGCAATAAATTGACCTGCATTTTGATACTAATTTGAAGAAAAATACAATAAGGTACTTATGAGATAATTAGATGCTTTGAAATGTATTGGCCATTTGATATTAAGCAATCATATACTGCTATGATTATGTTAAAATTACTCTTATCTTTTAGAGATACATTTAAAATATAGCCAGAAGAGTTAGTACAATTTCTCAGGTTTACTTCAGGATAAAATTGGGAAAAAGAACATGTAAATAAAGAACATTAAATAAGACTGACTATCAGTTGATCATGTGGGAGTTAATTTATCATTTTATCTACTTTTCTTTTTTGAAAACATCCACAGTAATTTTTTTTAAAGAGCTGTAATATTCCTGCTCTGTAATTTGGTGAGTTTTTATCTTCATGCCTTTGGAGAGTTTATGGAAGTAAATGTTCCAGATGATCACAAACACACTGGATTAGTTGATTTTTTTTATTTCTTCCTTGTCAATTAACACTAATTTCTTCATTTTGTGTGTCTGTATATAGATGATTCTGATCACTTTAAGATTGATGCCAACAGTGGTGAAATAAGAACAACCAGGATGCTTTCCTATGCTTACCGACCCTCCTTCAAGCTGATTGTGGTGGCCAGTGATCAGGGAATTCCTCCTCTCCAGGGCCAGGCAATTATTAATATTCAGGTAAAGCCATCGCCATAAATGATAGGCAGGTGGACTGAAGGTATCATCTGATTTTTTAATAAAGATATATATTTTTATTTTGTTTGAAATGTGGAGCTATAGAGAGAGGGAAGGCTAAAGTGAGAGGGAGAGAGAAAATGATTCTTCATTGATTTGTTCCTCAAAAGGCCTCAACAGCCATGGTTGGGCCAGATGGAAGTCTGGAGCTTCTGGGTCTCCCACGTGGCTGCAGTGGACTAACCACTCAAACTGCACCTGCACCTGCTGCTATCCCAGGTGCATTAACAAGGAGCTGATCAGTCAGTGCCCATATGTGATGCCAGTGTTGCAGACAGAGCTTTAACTCTCTGTGTCACAACACCAGATTCTCATTTGGTTTTTATATAGGTATCCTGAGTGACCATACAGTCAGTATATGAATATTATTTTAAGAGCACATTATATACACGTTTACCATTGTGTTATCACTGAGTATTTGGATCTAAATAATTAAAGTTATCTTTGTACAATTTTTTACAAGTTTTTCATTTCTTCATGAGCATTGTGCTTTATGATGGAAAATAAGTGAGTCTTGCCTTTTACTTAGTGAGGGCCTGGAAAATTTGTAGGAGAATCTTCTATATAAACAAATGACCATGTAATAAATCACAGGCTTTTACATTTTTCTAAAGGTTGGCAAGGTTGCTCAAGACCCATTTTTGAGGATGTTCCTTTAATTGCATCAAGAGAACAAGTTGTAGGATGTTTTCCTGCTAGAAAAATGTAATACAAACCAATAACAAATATGACTATGCATAACCAAATTCTTTTCCTGAAGCACATGCCTGTGTGTGTGTGGTGTGTGTGCTGAAAATTATGTGTTCCTTACAGTTTTATTGCTAAATCATATTTTTATAGGTGAATTACGGGAAGCATCTATATGGCCAACCTTAAAATTTCTTGCTTCACACAGAGATACAAGACGCTTACATGTAAACATACTTGTCATGTTGCATAGACTATTCTTTTTTAATTTAAGATTTATTTATTTTTATTGGGAATGCAGATTTACAGAGATGATGAGAGACAGAGAGGAAAATCTTCTGTCCAATGGTTCACTTCCCAAGTGGCTGCAATGGCTGGAGCTGAGCCAGTCCGAAGCCAGGAGCCAGGAGCTTCTTCCAGGTCTCCCACGCGGGTGCAGGGTCCCAAGGCTTCGGGCCATCCTCTACTGCTTTCCCAGGCCACAAGCAGGGAGCAGATGGGAAGTGGAGCCACAGGGATTAGAATTGGTGTCCATATGGGATCCTGGCATGTTCAAGGCAAGGACTTTAACCGCTATGCTGGCACACTGGGCACAGTAGGCTGTTCTTTAGGCTTAGGGCCTGTACACACACACACACACACACACACACACACACACACACACACACCACACAAAAGGAAGATTCTAGCTTCTAATATACAATAGTCTGTATTGATCCATCTGTCTTAAAAAATACCCCATTTTATTCTGATTTCAGGTGATCCCGCTCCCCAAAGGGAGTGCTATCATTTCTCAGATTATTAGACATTTAGTCATACCAGAGAACTGGAAGCCTGCAAAAATACTGAGCTTGATCAAGTCACCTGACCACCTTCAACAGCATCGTCATGGAAAGCTACATTTCAGTATTGTTGCAGATGACAAGGAGGGCCCCTTTGAGATTGACAGCACAACAGGAGATGTGTTCCTTGCTAAAGAACTTGACTACGAAATGACATCCCATTACCTTTTCAGAGTGGTCACTAAAGACTATAGTCAAGACCCAGCCCCGACTAGCACCATTTTCTTCAGTATTGATGTGGAAGACCAGAATGACCATTCCCCATCTTTCCAGGATGACTTCATTGTGATCAGTGTGGAAGAGAATGTCCCCGTGGGGACACTGGTGCATGTCTTCAATGCCAAAGATGGTGACGGCAGCTTTCTAAACAGCAGGGTTCAGTACTCCATCGAATCCCACCACCCCGGAGTGAATCCTTTTCTCATCCACCCCTCCTTTGGCACGCTGGTCACCTCGTCTGCCCTAGATAGAGAGAGTGTTGCAGCTGTCAGCCTGACGGTAACTGCGTCTGATCAAGCTGTGAACGTGACGGACCGGCGAGTGGCATCACTCACCGCCAGAGTAGTGATTCTGGATGTAAATGACCACAGCCCCACTATTACATCTTTCCCCATTGTCCAAATCCGAGAGGATGCAGTGCTGGGCTCCCGGGTGCACTGGATCACTGCTAAGGATCCAGATGAAGGAAGAAATGGACAAGTGACATACAGTATCCTCTCAGGAAATGAAAACCTGACCTTCATGTTAGACAAATCATCAGGTGAAGTTCTTGTTTTATTTTAGAACAGTGACAAAATTTAACAGGTGGCCCACTGTTGTAACAAAGCTTTAAAGGTATGGTACAATGTTGTTGGCTTCAGCTACAATATTACACAGCAGTTCTCTAAAGTTTATTCACTTTCATGACTGAAACTTGTTTATCCCTCGCTCCCCTGCCATTCAGCCTGAGACATTCAGACACCCACTCTTTGATTCTATTAGATTATCTTAGATGCCTCCTGTTAGTGAAATCCTGTAACATTTGTCTGTGACTAGATCATTACACTGAGTATAATGTTCTCAAAGATCTTCCATGTCGTCACATACCTTTTTTCCCTTTGTTGAAATTATTTTTCGTGATACATTTTTGTAGCTCTAGGGGATTTCCCTGTTTCCCTCCCCTTCCTTTCTCCCCATTTCCCCCATATTATCAGAGTAACATAGTCTTTAGTAAGAGTTACAAGATTAACATTCTGCTATTTCAGTGCATCATGGCATTGGAGGCATAGGCAAAGATAGAACATTTTGTATGTATTGACAAGGAATATTTAACAGTTTCATTAGAGGTGCTCCTTTTATTCAGGAGTAGAGATGTATACTGCAATTTATCTTCACTTCCTGGTATGTTCAGAAACCTGCTAATGTATACCTGGAGACAACATGTGATGGCTCAAGTTCTTAGACCTCTGTCACCCACAGGGAGGGGTCCAGATTAAGTTTGGGGATTATGAATTCAGCCTGTACTGGCCCTGGCTGTTACAGGTACTTGAGGAGTGAACCAGTAGATGGAAAATTTCTTTCCAAGAAAAAAAAAAGATATATTTAGGATATCCTTGTTCCATGCAGGAGTGTCTAGAGTAATCCCAGTTTCCTACTCTTAATTCAAGCTTTGTGTTGAATCAGACACTGCGAGGCAATGATGATGGCTAAATGAAGCATCCCTGTTGCTTCCAGAGTCATTAACAGGAAACTAGAACCAGAGTCAGCCAGAATTGAGCTCAGGCACTGGAATATGTGACGCAGGTACCTGGTAATGTCTTAGTGACTGTGCCAGGTATCATCCCAAACTTTTATGTCATCTGAAAGGGTAGTGTGTATCTGTACAAAGTATCTGTCATGTGAATTTTTAAATAAATCAATCTCTGCCTAATCTTTAGGGAATGTTAATGGATTACCATTTCATTATCTGAAAGAGAAAATCACTTCTACTTGGACCTAAAAAGCAGGAGCATTCTTGGCATTGGGGCTGGATCTGTAGGACTTTGAAGTCCTAACTGCATTCTAGCTATGTTTTGGAAACTTCCTCAAAATATTTATTAGATGCTATGCACGTGATCACATTCTGACAGATGCATGGACATGACCTAGGTGTCCACTGACCAAGAGGAGGTCAGACAGAGGCTGCTGATTTCGGTGGCAGCTATGGTCTTCACAGGCTGCTGTTCCCAGTGATACTCAAGATGTTGTCCACAATGGCTAAGAGGGTCTATTTCAAACTGATACAGAACTGAGATCATTAGGACTGTGTCCCAGTAATGGAAGTGCCATGGGGTTTGAACAATTGCAGCGGGTGGGGTGGGGACGTGTTCAGTGGAGATTTTTTTTTCAAGGACATTAACTGGTTATTGCCGGATGTATTCATATTTCTCTTTTCCTCTGATAAGGCTTGACCTTGCTATAAAGAAGACAGCAGTAAGTTTTTCAGTAGCTATAATTTTGAAATATTGAATAATGTGTAATTATCAAAAGTCTTCTTTTCACATATCTACTCCGCCCCGAAAGGAGGATTCCCAATGAAACTGATAAAAGTGCCTTGACAATTGTCGATTTCCTGTCACTGTCTGTACCTGCAATGCCATGATGCACTTAGATAGCAAAGTGTTGGACTTGCGACTGTTGCTGAAGGACTATACTATTGTGATAATATGAAGGAAAACAGCGTGTGGGAGGAGCATGAGAAGGGAATAAGGGGAGGTGGAGGGAAAATCCCTGAACCTATAAAACCGTATCATGGAGTGGGAAAAGGCAATAATCAATTAATTTAAAAAAGGAATCTGATTCAGTAAACCTCTTCAATGATTAGAAGAAAAGTTATTAAAGGATGGCAGGAAGGAACATGAATCTTGAAAGAAAATGCAATCTCTGGACTCTGCAATGGCTACCAGTGTGTAACACTACATAAATAGACTATATGTTTAAATAGCAGTGGATAAAGATAGGTTTTACTTCTTACATGTATTGTCTTCTGTTCTTCATTTTTCATTTTGAAGACTTTCCAAGTATAAAGACACCATGCCTGTAACAAACATAAAGTGTCTTAAAGAGCAGTGTCATGGTCAATATCTGCAACTTTTCATATGAGATGAAAATGATACGTGCCATTGATACATTTCGAAGTGGAAGTATATTTGGAAGGGATAAACCAAGTTATTACATGATTCTCTCAAATAATGGCATAAGCCAGATTTTGCAATAAAAGCTTCCTTTAAAATATTTTTACTTTTTGTTTAGAAGGTAGACATAAATAGGTTTTCTATCTAGCTGATTCTTTTGAAACAGACAGAGTGGACCAGGCTGCAGCCAGGAGTTGGGAACTCCCAACGGTGTCTCCCACATGGGTCACACAGGGAGCCAGGTTCTCATCATGGAGTCACACTACTGGAAAGCTGAAGTTGGAAGCTGAGGATCTGGTGCGCACAGCATGTACTCTCCTCAGGGATGTGGCCTTGCCAAGAGGGAACCTAACCACTGTACCTGCCGTGAGCCCCCTGGGATGAATTTTCTAACTGCGGTTAACATTTTATTCTGAAGAATCCATAAATTCAATGTGATTCGCTCTTGACCAGTTAAAAGATTAGGATCATTATCCAGTACCAGGCACCGGTAAGTAAGCATGAGTTCTCTGCAGACTAGACGTGTCATGCTCCTTTCTCCTCTGCCCAAACAGGCTTTCTAAGCACTGCCTGCTTCTTGGATTACGAAACTCAAGCTCAGTACTTGCTGACCCTCCTGGCACTGGATCATGGTGCCCCAGCACTGTCATCAACCCAGACGTTGACAATCAATGTCGTTGATGTAAATGACGAGGCCCCAGTGTTTAAGCAGCGCATATATGAGGCTTCAGTGAAAGAAAATCAAAACCCGGGGGAGTTCATCACAAGGGTGGAAGCCGTGGATGGAGACTCAGGTAATTTGCAAATGTGGAAGCAAAATCATTAGTCCTTATTGAAGAACACACAAGGAATTTTTTTTATTTGTTATTAACATTGTATATTTGATACAGTTTTATAAGCACTGGGGAGTCCCCCCACCCCTCCCACACCCCTGCTCCCACAGTGGATTGCTCCACCTTGCTGCATAACCGCAGCTCAAGTTCGGTTGAAATTCCTTCATTGCAAGCATATACCTAGCATAAAGTCCAGCATCTTATTGTCCAGATAAGTTCAGTGGCCTCTTGGGGAGACCTTCTCTGGTCTGAAGGTAGAGCTAACCGAGTAAAGTTCCGGTCAGTTAAAATCCCCAACAAAACATCAGCGTCAATATACAACGTTATGGAATTAATTGACATAGTATTGAGTGAACAATATGTTAAAAAATAATGCAAGTTCAATTCTTCAAAACATCTGAGTTGAGACAGTATCAATGACAGGTTCAAAAAGTAACAAACAACCAAGCAAAAATTAGAGGTTAAATCAAGGCAAACATGTGATATCTGACATAGTATTGAGTAGACAATATGTTAAAATTACATGTAAGTTCTTGACTACCTCCTGCAACTATTTCAATGACACCTCATCAATTGAGGTGTTCAACGAGTTTGGGGGGTGTTGCAGAGAAATCTCTCATACCTTGCTGATGGGTACTTGTTCTTTGTGTTCCATCTAATAGGACATGTGTGAGTCCTTGATGACCTATCTTTCTTTATTGTTCTTTGCTTATCTCATCCTATTAGTGTGTGTATATGAGTGTGTGTGTGTGTGTGTGTGTGTAGGGGGGAGGGGGTTTAGGAGGAACCTTGTTGGTCATTATAGAGGGTGGAGGCCCAGAGCTGGAACTAGGTAAGGACTGGAGAAGGTTCTTCTCCCATTGTCCCGCAGGAAGTTTATTGATCTTCTGGTTCTGATGACCGATCGTGGTTCCTGGCTGTTGTTCTGATGTTGTTAGTTCCTATGTGGAAGGACTCGGGCTTCTTCCATTTCGTGTAGTTTGTCCAAAGAGGCAGGATGTCTGTCCTCTGGGTTCATGGCATCTGGAGGCATTCCAGATCCCCGTGTTCTCTTTGGCAGTTGTGATGACGTTCTTGTGTCCATTCTGATTCACCTTGGTGGGAGTCCAGGAGTCCTTGTGGGTGGGGGATAAGCCTCCTCCTGTCCTGCTGTTCCGCTCTGGGGTTCTCCCCTATTCTGTGCATATGACCACTTGTTAATAGACTGTTTGGGTCGTTCCTAATTCCCCCTGTGTGTCATTGTAGTTTTTGCTATTGTCTAAAGCTGATCTGGATCTATCAACTTTAAGATACCTATCCGGTTCCTGTAGGTCACACTACGTGGATTCCTAGCTTTTTCAAAGGAGATGAGAGATTTCTCTGTGTTCCCACCCAATTACTGTGTATCGTAAGGAATTGGCATTATATTGGGAATTACAATCATTCAGAACATATGGGGTGAAACCATATTAGCAGCAGGTTCGTCTGAGGAAGATTTACAGACATTGGAAATCTTTAGGGTTGCTTGGTGTCCCCAAAACACCGCAATTTCGGCATGAAGCTGTCTTGAGCAGCATACAGAGAACCAATTTCTCAGGGCTCCCTGGCCAGGCGGCCAGCAGGCGAAGCCTGGCGCCAACTGGCGCACTGGCTGCCCGAAGCAGTCCCCCGAGTGAGCGTGGGGACTGCTTGTTGCTTACCAGGAGAAGAAGCAGGCTGGGCCTGGGGAACCCCGGCCGCCATGCAGCCGGGGGGTAACATCCCTGGGCGTCCCACAAAGAATTTTTAACCGGTGTAATTTAAAGCAATTGTGGCCTGGAAGAAATGAACAGTTGCCATTAGTTCAGACTTGTAACTCATCTTTCCTTTGCATGTGTAAGAAAACTCACATATGTTGTAAACAGAATGTAATGTTTTTTGAGAGCAATTGCTTATATTGATCTTTATTATTTATATGAAAGTGATGAATAGCTAATGTGCAGGATATTGATGCAACTTTGATAGGAAACAGAAGTACAGGCAAAGCATTGCATTTCTGTGAGTGTAACAAACATTGAGTATAAGAAGATAAATGGTTTAAATGGTTCTTATTTTCTATTTCCTCTCCTTCTCTCTCTCTCTAATGAATCTCAAAAAAATAATAATGAATCTCATAATTTCTCTCTATATATCTCATAATGAAAGAACTGTGCTATTCTCATGTGACTACCTATTTTTTGTTTGTTTGTTTAGTTGTTGTTTGTTTTTTGCTTTTTTTTTGCTTGCATTATTGTTTTTTTCCCCTCAGTGGTCAGCTTTCTGGACTTGAATCCTAAAATTGCCACTTAAATTGCACAATAGGTTGATCAGGTTACTAATTTTTAGTATTTTTCTGCCTGTGTGTAAAATGGGGATGATAACAGTATCTGACTTGTGGTTCTATTATGAATGAATTACATATAAGCAGCACAGATAAGTGCTTGGCACAACAAGTGGCGGAAAAAGGCTAGCCTCCACCATCCCTATGGCTGCTACTACTATCATTATTGAAATTATTAACCCCTGGTCCAGAAAAGCAACTCAGAAGGGAAGAGCTACTGTTCACTAGGAACTTACAAATTTCTAAGACTGGCTTTTCAATATAAATGTAGATATTTTGGCATTTAAGTTCTCATAGATGTAATAGTACTGTTTTTCTATAAAACAAAGCAATAAAATTTTCAGTGTTGTGTTTCCTGTTAAAAACATTTTCACATATCAACTAATATGAATAGTTTGATAAACCAATCATTGAAAATTTACATGTTTAATATAACAAGCAACATTACATATTGGTGTATTTTGTTCTAGTTTTATACAAGAATTTTAATAGATATTTTATGAGATTAGTAGTATTAACATCCATTTTTTCCCCCAACTTGTTAATAATAAAAAGTTTTTAAAAAGCACCTTTACTTGAACTTTCAAACAAAATTATGTATCTTCAGGTCTTTTTCTTTTTGGGGAAAGATATTCTAATGAGATACTTTTTATGTGCATAATGTTGGAAACGTTTTGAAGGGCCAGACTAATTTTCCCTTTTGACCAGAGTGGGGCAGTATGAACAAAGAATTTTTCTTACCATGCACCAAGACACATGGCTAGAGCATGCTGACAAACCTGTATCCCAAACTGTGCTTAAAGAATGTATTTATCACATTTCTGGCAGACTTCCTTTTTGAGCATTTGAAACAATTGCAACTGTATCCAAACTTTGTGCTCCCCAGTGAGTCCAACACAGGCAAGTTCTCTGGAAGCATTCTATGCTGCCAGCAGAGCAGAACAGGGCTCTCAGCAACATGCAAACCACCGTCCAAAGTAGACAGGCATGCAAGGGCATTGTAGAAGTTTATGGAACTGGAGTGAAAACTCAAGTTATTTTGATGCAAAACACCTTGAAATCCATACATCAGTTTTCCCTAGAATATGCATTTCCATAGAGTTTTGGAAGATCCCTTATATATATATATGAGATTGCACACTTTTATACCCTAAACTTAATTTTATTCCATGTTTCCATGACCTTTTGGAAGTGTCTTTAATTACTGAGTATGATGCTGACGTGTGCTTTAGCAGTTGTTGGGCTATATAAAATTCCTTTCTGTGGTCTTTATTTTATAGGTTTTATCCTTCTGTAATGAACTCTGAAAGAATTTCTTTTACATTAGTGGTTGAAGAGAGAGAAAAGAATTTCTCTTAAGTTTCTGCACATGTCTTCTAAGAGTGTTTGCTGTGAATATGAGCTCTGTCGGCTTGCCCATTCTTAGTATTGTTTTGTTCAGAGTGAAAGTCTGTTGCCTGTTAATTATAATTGAATTAAAAGTTCATTGTTCTGGAGAATATGGTTTGCCAACTGTGAATTTAGTGGCGAAAATTATTGTTTTCCTGGCTTTGCATTAGTGGATGTTTGAAAACACACACGAACATCTTTAAATTCATAAGTTTCATGTACCCTTACATGTGTTGGAGACAATTTTGAATTCCTGGAAATCTCTGTATTTTTAATGAGGCCAGATCTGTTAAGCAGGTGGTTATGTAAATATATGTGAATATTTGTGTGTATGCGTGTGTGTTTTAATATATTTTCCCTTCATTTTTTTTACTGGGTTAAAGCAATGAAATAGGATTATGCATGAGAATTAAGTGATGTAGTCATGATTTTAACATAACTGGCATCGCACTGGATTTTATGAATGGTTTACTTTATACTACATATTTTTAAAAATACTACAGCATTACTTAATACTGGCAAGCATAACATGTTTTCTAGCATTCTGCAGTGCAGTTGCAAACAAATGTAAGTGTGCTGCAGTGCTCGGCATGCAAACCCACAGGGACTTGAGCACTGAATGTTTATAGTGTATGACTCACTCTAACTCTAACAGGAGTTTCTTCTTGCATTAAAAGGGGGAAAAACCTTCTACCAGATTTTAACTAAGGTATTAAAACTGCTATGGCGATTGGTGTCCTGAACAACAGCTTCATTGTTAGCAAGAAATCTCTCCCTCTGAGACTCCTCCTCTCCCCAACCCCTGGAGAAAAGGGCGCCTCGGCTGGGAGATAGCTCCCTTCTGCCTCAGGCTCAGGCATCTGCTCTGTCATGGCGTTGCTGACATTACTTAACTCTGCCTTGCCATGTAGACACATATAGAATTAGTTAATGAGTTACTTCTTGCAGGATTGTATTATTTAGGGGTATGCTGAAAAAGCCCTACAGCTGTTTCTTAGGGTTGCCCAAGCCTTGTGCATGTACAGGTGTCTGTGGAAATGGATCCTCAGGTATGAGATGCACTTGACTAGGGGTTTTGCCTGAGTAGGTGGTAGAAGAGAAACATCACTCCTACAGAAACTGACTGTAAACGCCAAACTTTGAGAATAGTCAACTTGAGTGCTTACCTATGTATTCCTCTGATTAGAAATCTCCTTAGAAGGTGCCTGTTGAACCTATCATTTGGGGTCTGAAACTTCCAATTCCTAACTATGACTTTAACAAAATATAAAGTCTCTCCTGCAATAGTAGTTAAAATGCTAGGGTATTCAAAAGCAGTCATTCTGCAATACCTGAGGACATTGGACGGAAAATCCCATCTCAGGGTAAATGGAATTAAAGACTAAGTTTATGAAAATATTTTTGCAGTTTGTGTATCATATGCACTTTCTATGTGCTTTTGATGACCCTTCATAATCCTTTTTGTTATTATCTGGTCACAGTCAATGCCGTTTTGTTCCCCGAGGAATAATCCTGTTATAAAGCCCTTTAGTTTGAGTTTTTTTTATTAAATAACTCAAATGCTTTTATCATCAACACGGGGATAGCTTAATTAATGCTGATATCACTCCAACAGTTGAGTTATCAGGATTCTACTTCCGAAGGTAAGGGGCACTGTACTCTGTCAAGGCCAAAGAAACCATCCATCCAGTATTAGAATCTCTGTGACCTGAAACCCACACCTGGTACCAAACACCCCAGCAGCCATCTGCCATTTGCTCACGAATGCAAGATACTGCAGTACAAGACAGCTGAGTGAACCAAGAGAGTCCTAGGGGTCATTTAGAAAACTAGGCTGTACCTTGTGCCACCACTACCTGGAAAGAGGAGAAGAGTTGGAGTGTCAGAACCCAGGAAGAAAACGGGGAAAGGGAATATTGTTGACCCTGGTATGAGAACACACAGGCACGCCATGAGAACACATATGCTGGGCATGGCTGTTGGGTCAGAGAGCGATCTGCAGGATGGAAGCCTGGTTCCTCCCAGTCCGTCTCTCACTTCCTGCTGTGTCCTTTTGTAGCAGGACCATGGAGGCTAAGGAAACCCTTGTTGGCAATGAAGAACTAGGCTTTGCAGAGCTCGGCCCCAACATTACTGGACAGAGAATGGAGGGGTGGATTTAGATCTGTGATACAAGAGGTGAAAAGTTAGTATATTTTGGGAAAATACTGGGAAAGGAGCAGGCAGAAGGAACTGCAGCTACTGAGACCCAGTTGTAAGAAACAGCACATTCCGAGAACAGGAAGCCGGGGGAACAAGTTTGTGAGAAGACATGTTGAGGAAAAAGGCAATAGTGACAATATTGCAGCCTTTGTAGATTGTGGTAAGGTTCTTCAATTTTATTTATTCACATTACTTATTGTCAACACAATATTGTGCACATTTGTGAAGCACCGTATGATGTTTCAGTATATAAATACATGGTGTTATGTTCAAATTAATATAAATGCATCTGTCTGTGAAAACATATATTGTTTCCTTATGCTAGAACACATAATTGTTTCTTATAGTGTTTTATTCTTTTTTAGAAAAATGCGTAGTGCATTGTCATTATTTATACCTATCTCAGTGTGCAGTGAACTTCTGAGCTAATCAATATTTCACCATTCCTTCTTTTTGCCGTTTCCACCACTCTACTCTAAACATCTGCTAGATCAACTTTTTTTCAACTGAGATCAGGCAGTACTTCTGTAAGCTTTCTTTTGAATTCATGCAAACCTTGTTCCCTCATGTTCATTATCTTTAAGATCTCAGGTTACACAGAAGGTAACTGATTTTATCACATAGAATTGAAGTTACTTCTCTGTTTTCTGTGTCATTTCTGAGCTCTAGAAGGGTGGAGGATTGGTCTTATTGACGGTAGTTAAATTCTTAGTACCAGGCATGGTCGCTTGACACCTGCTGTCACTCCACATATGTTTGTGACTGAGCTGATGAATAAACTTTCCTAAATGCATCATTATTGATGTACTTCCTCTGTATTTTTTTGTCTGCTATAGTGTTCTCTAACTCACTGACTAGATTTGTATTCCCACGGAAGGCAATTCTAATGGCCAGGATAAGTTCTTCTTCAGTGTTTTTTTTTTTTCTGTGTCTGGCTCCAAAATGTAAATATGTGTTGCATCAGTGAATACGTGAATGAATGAATGAGTCAATACAGTGAATAACTGCAGCTTGACACACCTGGTGTCATTGAGTAAATGTGTGAATGGAAACCATGAGAGTGGGAGGGGCTAGAACGATTTGTGCCAAACAATCCCTCAAGTGTATTATCCACTGCTGGCAACTGCTGGCAATGCCTGCATTGCTATGTACCGCAAGCCAAGTGGAGGGACTAGGGTTAAAAATAAAAAAAGGAAAAAGAAAAGAATCACACACACACACACACACACACACTAGGTCATTAGTGTAAGAATGCCATTTATTGGAAACCCAGACTGTCTTAATAAACCCTGACTAGCTCCTCTTGGGGAGTGTTTCCCAGCTCTTTGGCTATCGTATGTCTTGCATGTATCAGGAAGCTTGCGATTAGGCCAACATAAACCCATCAGTCATGTGCAGGGGACGTCGTGCCGTGTTGATTGGCCCACAGTTTCTCAAGCTTTCTCAAGCGCAACCAGTATGAGAAAAAGCAAGATTAGTGCAGCAGGCATACCTGGTGAGGTTAACCCTTGGGGGGCGGGGCCCTGCAATCCACTGAAGTGACAGTCAAAACCATTCAGGCTTTAACATGAAAGACACTAACACTGTCTTTCAGAGGGTCAGAGAAAAATATGTCATAGAGGAACCAGTAAATTTAAAAAGACAGATTTTTTTAAACTTCTTCTCTCCTGCTTCCTTCCCTGCCTTTCTGTCTTTTGAAACAATCAGAGTCACAGAGAAGGGGGGTAAGAGCTCGAAGTAGCCAGCAGTTTTCTAACCAATACGTCAGTGATCACTGTGCAGAGAACCAGGAAAGACAGTGATTTTAGACTAGCAAAGAGAATGGTTATTGTTTTAAAAGAAATTTAGCTATATAGAGGAGATGAAAGCTTAATTCTTAAAATTAGGAAAGGATATAACTAAAAAAGAAGAAACTTTCTGGAACACGACTAGAACTAACAGGAAAATTCCTATACAACGCCTTTGAGGAATCACCTTTGCCTCTGAGACGTAAGCCAGGGTTGGAGTTGAGGATAGATGTGGATGAGTCCAGGGCCTCCTCGCATGGGCATAGCAAGTGAGTGAAGAGGGGGAAGACCCTTGGTTCAGGCAGGAGATGTGATGGGAGAGAGGAAACCAAGAAATGTGGGAAGATTGCCAGATGACAATGATTTTTCATGTGCCCCAGTCTGTATCCTGTCATTTCCCTTACTCCAGTTATCTGCTGGCTATTCAAGGGAGCCAAGAGATATTTGAATGATACTGGTCAGGGGTTTTGCTGAGCATCTTTGGCACAAAGATGAAGGACCTGAGCAGATAAGCCAGCTTGCTGAAGATAAGGTTCCTGGCACTAGATGGGACAGAGAAGTGATTTGAAACGAGTGGTTTCAGAGCAGCAAAGTAGAACTGCAAGAGTTGGGGTCTGAAAGCAGATGTACCCGGCAATTTCAAAAATATTTCACGGGAAGTGCATATGATGAAAAAAACTGTGGATTTTCAAATTTATTGCAATAAAATAAAGCCCTAATTCTGTTTTCTACGACCTTTTAAGGTGTCCTCATCTGTATGTACACACACACACACACACACACACACACACACACACACATATCTTTCACCAAGGACATGTCATAAGGCTATCACTAAATATCTAAAACATTTTTACCAAGGTGATAAAATAAGCCAGATAATCTCTATTTCACTTTTGTTTTCTGAGTTTTCAAGTTTGATAATGCTGTGTTCTGGAAATTGGCAAAGTTGTGAGTTGGAAGAAACAACATACTCTTTGAAAGCATTAAGAATGCATCATAATGTGATACCGCATTGCCCATCCTAGTTAGGAAACTAAATATTAAAACACAGAAAGTAAAAATAAACATATGAACAACTGTGTGTACTTGCCTCCTGAATCTTAAGAACGGAGTTCTATAACTGAGCATGGTTTTAAAAAAAAATTAAAAAAAACATTTATTTCTGTGAAGAGAAAGAGAAGGATCTTCCATCCACAGTTTACTCCCAGAGTGGCTGCAATGATTCTGGCTGAGCCAGGCTAAAACTAGACGATTGATTCAGTCTCCTGGCTGAGTGACAGGTGCTTGCACGCTTGGGGCATCACCTGCTGCTTTCTCCATGCCAACAGCATGGTACTAGATTGGAAGTGTAGCAAGTGGGACATAATCTGGTACTCATGTGGGATGTTGCTATCGTAGGCAGTTCAGCCACTCCATCACAACCCCAGTTCCTGAACACGGGCCTTTTAAGCAGAGTCAGTCCACAGAGAGTGTCTTTGCCCTACAAGCTGGCACTCACATTATTAAATCCCAGTGAAGAGCTTTAGGAGGGGTAATTAGAAATATATTGTAGAGTTGTGTAGTTGTAAGACAATTTTTATGGGAGGGAAAAATCCTAAGCATTCACTTGGGCAAGTCTCTTAAGACTCTTGCAGATGAAATATTTCAGCTCATGAAGCTTTTATTTAGTAAGAGCAGCCAAAGAATTTTGGAGGGATTTTGTCTTTGCACTTTATTTTGAAGAACCTCACTTTTTTTTTTCATGTATGGCCTAACATATTCACAGGAAAATAATCGAATAGGTTCTTAAGACATAGTAAGTTTTTCTTTATGTTTCCTTAAGGAGTCAATTCCAAGCTTCAGTTTGAAATCCTGCCAGGTGCATCATCTGACTTGTTTGAGATAAATCCTGATACCGGGGAGATTGTCACCACCACCATGTTTGATAGAGAACTTCAGGAAGTCTTCACCCTTCGAGGTAAGGGACTTGTTGCATGCTTCAAAAAAAGTTGAATGGTGACATTTGACATTTTAGTGGATGCTTTTACATAAAATTTTACTGACCCAGCACCACATGATTAATTTAGTCTGATGCTGTGTTATTAGAATATATATATATTTTAGGCATGAATTAATGCCTACCATATGTGCTGTCTTTGTTTCCCATGTCAGTACTTGTGCGAGATGGAGGAGTCCCTTCCTTGTCAGGTACCACTACAGTTCTCTGCATCGTTGAAGATGTAAATGATCATGCACCAGAGTTTATCACCCCCCGTCATGACATTGAGATTCCTGAAAACCTAGAACCAGCGATTATCTACACTGTTTGGGCCTCTGATATGGATGCTGGCAATAATGGAGCTGTCACCTATCACATAATTGGTAAGTGCATTTTTTGTTAAAATTCTCCCTACACTGTCACTATAAGTGGATTGTTCTGTATTTGTTCATTTACTTGCTATATTTTGCTAGACAGCACATGCGCTCCCTCCCTTTGCCACCCTGAACCACTTCTCCTCTCAATTCTTGGAAAACTTGACTCTTGAGAATGCTTGTGACCTTTTTTCTGTGCTACCATTAGTGGATGTACGGCTTTACTTTATTTTGTTTCAGTCATATAATCAGTTGTTTTGCTTTGTGCCTTTCTAAAAAAGTTTGTTTATTTTGAAAGAGTTACAGAAAAAGAGAAGGAACAAGAGATCATCCATTTACTGGTTCACTCCCCAATGGTGGCAACAGCTAAGGCTAAGCCAGGCTGAATCCAGAAGCTTTGTCTGGGTCATCTACATGGGTGATGGGGGACAAGCACTTGAACCAGCTTTCCATACTAATTAACAGGAAGCTGGATTGGAAGCAGAGCAGCCAAGATACCAACGGCACCCATATGGGATGCCAGTGCTGTAGGTAGCAGCATTGCTTGTTTCATCACAATGCAAGTCCTGATTTTAGTTTTTCTGAATTAATATTTTCTTCCTGTATTCTTACATTTTATTCTTACAATATATTCTTGTATTTTATGTTTATAGTCTTGTATATTTTTATATTTTATATTTAGATTCTTATATATTTGTATTCTTGTATATTTATATTCTTGTATTTTATTCTTTTATTGCATCACATTCTAATAGGCTTATATATGTAAAAGCTAGATTATTACTTTTGTCATATTATTACTTTTGTCATTATTACTTTTGTCAAAATATGTATGTATAAAAACTTAAGATTTTCATACTATTCCAGAGACTTTTGTGTCCAAGTTCAAATGTTATTTTGGGTAAAATTGTTGTTATTAATACTGTAAAGTTAAAATAGCCAAAGTATATTTCAAATTTTGATAAAATATGGATAGTGATATAAACAATAAAATTCAATTGGAAATGGCATCTCTTAATGAGACGGGTGAGTTTGTGTATGTGCCTTGCTCCTGTCTAGCAGGAGACAGCACCAAGCCCATGACTGTGTTTCTTTATTAGAGCTGTAAGCATGTAGCATCTTCACTCACATTTTTTCAAATGGGGGAAATTATTATTACAGAATTAAATTTAGTTCCTGAATTCCTTCTGAGTTAGAGGGTCAAAAAAATCAATGAATCATCATTGCTTTCAGGTACCTCTATTGCCTAGAAACTTGAGTAGGAACTGCTTAGAAACTATGTGAAAATAATATGTGATCTAATTAATAGCAAGGATTTTTTTTTCTAACTGAAAAGTATGGTTTTCCCCAAGCATTGAAGATAGTTGCTATTTCAACATCAGGCACCAACACTAGGAATGACCCCTTACCTGGCAGCCCTTTCTGTGGGTGAAATGGGAGGCTTTTTAATCGATGAGGAGGGTGATTATAAAGACAAATGTCAAAGCTAAATATGCTGGGTCCTAGGTGAACAGAAGAGACAGAGATTGATTGCTTCCATCCATTGGTTCACTCCTCACATGGTCACAATGACTGGGCCTGAGCTAGTCCAAAGTCAAGAACCTAGAATTCCACCCTCTCCCAGATGGGTGTCAGGGGCACTTGGGTGATCTTCCTCTGCTTTCCTGGGTGTGTTAACAAGGAACTGGATATAAAGTGGAACATCTAGGCCTTGAACCAGCACCCCTAGGGACACTGGCATTTCTGGCAGCAACTAAAACCATCGCACCACAGTACCACCCCTAAACCACATCTCCCTAAATAATCTTCAGGATTATTTAAAAAATGCCTTAGAAGCTTTTCTGTCTAGGTGTTCAACTTTAACTTTCATTCTATTTAGTACCATGGAAGACGGTAAAGTGCAGATTCTTTGAAAGATCCAGATACGAATAAAACATTAATGTTGCTTATATTGTGGGAGAAATAGGCGGATGTCCTGCTGATTTTCTTATGACTCATGCCCGAAGTTCCATAGGGATGCAGAAGAGGAAACTTGCAGTGGTGTGGCTGGCGTAAGATTTGAGGGGAGTAACCCTGGGAAACATTAGTACATTCTGTTTTGTTAATGATAGCTGCAAATTAACATTATATCCTTTTTCTTATCCCCAACCTTTGTTTTATTTCCATAAGACATATTTTAATAATTCCAAGCAGAAACTATGTGAATAGAAACAGTTGTGGATGGAGTCCAGTGCAGTGGGGCATGAACCAATCCACACAGGCAATTAGACTTTCTGTTTCTTTGCCTTTATCTTTGGAGCCTCCCAGCTGCTCTGTTCCCTAAAGATGTCCAAATATTGCATCTTGATCCAATTTTTAAATGAACTGATGCTGTGAAGACTAAATAAAGTAAAATAGACAAAGCATTTTTTTTAAAGTCCAACACAGATACAGAGAAACTCTCAACTGTGATTTGTCGTTATTGAAGATGAAGATGTGGTTCACCGAAAACCACACTGATGCATGACGAAGGCTCCAGTGATGGGGTTCCTGCCACTCATGTAGGAAACCCGGATGGTTTTCTTGGCTGGGAGCCATTGCAGGAACTGGGGGGGACTGAACCAGCAGAAGGGAGCTTGTTCTGTCTCCAGAAATGGGGAGGATTGTTGGTGGGGTGGAATGAAACAACACAGCTGTTGAAAGTCAGGAAAAACATGTTGTAATTACTGATGGAGTTACGACATCACTGGGATTACATTATTTTGTGTATCCCTTGCTACAAGTTTGATAGAAGCTTATAAAGTGGGCATTTGGCACAGTGGTTAACACGCCACTTGGGACACCCACATACTAAAATGGTTAGAGTCATTACTGCCACCCTGTTTCTTACCCAGCTTCCTCTTAATTCAGCAGATGTGAATTAAGCAGCTGAGTCTCTGCCACATGGGAAACCTGGCTGGAGTTTTAGATTCCTATTTTTCGCCTAGACTTGCCCTGGCATTTCTGGACAATGGGAGCATGAACAAAAGGGTGAACTTCTTCTCTATCTCTATTTCTTCCTTTCAACTTTAAAAAATGAATTTAAGAATTGATTGTTTTAAAAAGTTCATAAGGTCTAGGACTCTGTCATGTTCAGTGTTTCCAGTGAACTTGCAAAGTTCTGGGATGCAAGGATCTGGAGTATTCCTTAACACATAGAGCTAGCAAAGGACTGCTGTTTCTGTGAGTTAGTTGACTTTTCATTTTGCTTCTTTGGTAGGTGGAAATACTGATGAGTACTTTGCCATTCATGAAACATCAGGAGAACTGTCGACCACTCGTGCATTGGACCGGGAGCAAGTCAGTTCTTTCACCCTTGTCCTGCTGGCCTCGGACCTGGGTGTTCCCCTCAGGAGCTCCATACTGCAGGTGCACATCAGGGTTTTGGATGACAATGACCACAGCCCTGCCTTTCCCATTCTGCACTACCAGGCCTCTGTGGCAGAAGATGCTCAGGTGGGAACGCCAGTGCTCATGCTGTCTGCTGTGGATGAGGATGAAGGCCTGAATGGGCACATTGAGTATTTTCTCATGGATGTAGCTTCCGGTACATTCACCATTGACCACACAACAGGCACACTGAGAACTGGCCATACTCTGGACCGAGAAGCCAGATCTGAGCATACATTCAGGGCAGTGGCCAGAGACCATGGCATGCAGGGCTCAAGGAGCACAACCGTCACTGTCACAGTGCATGTCACGGATGTTAATGACAATAATCCTGTTTGGGGACAGAATCCCTCTGATGTTCTTCTTTCCTCTTGGTCACTTCCAAACCAGAAGGTTGCCATCCTGAGAGCCAATGACCTTGACTTGGGGCCCAATGGAACTGTGATTTTCTGTTTTGCAGAGACTCAATCCATGTTTTCTATTGACCAACATACAGGAGAAATCAAGTTGAAGCAAAATCCGTCCCAAGAAAATTTCCCCATGTGGTTGCATTTAAGGGTTACAGATCAAGGGGTCCCAGCCAGGGCAACCACTGGTCTCCTGGTTGTCCACATGGAAGGGGAGGATGTCAGGATTTCTTTCAGTGACCCTCTATATGAAGGACTTGTGATGGAAGATTGTGAAGCAGGTGAGTGTGCCCTGGAGTTTATTTGTATATTATACCCATGTGGGCAAATGGCTTGAAACTGCAGATGCTATAGGAGTGCTATTCCAGATTCAGTTGTAAAAATTTGAGCCCAGCCAACTGTTGGCATCATACAGTCAAAATAAATACAGCTAAAGGTAGGATAGGGCAAAATTATGTCACTCTAATGGTTAGCCCTTCCACTGGCATCTGTGTGAGAATGCTACTACAGAGCAAGAGGATGGGTGTCTCTGACCAGCAGTGACACTAAAATGATGAGGCATACTCATGAGGGTCTGGGAAAAGCTAGAACTCCAACTGGACCCTTCACTGCCCAAAGCGGCTGCATTTAAACCTTTTTCTCCGCTGCCCCTTTCCCCATTGGCCTTGGCTTTCCTCTGCCGCTTCTCCAGCCCTCTCTCTGCCACCCTTCTTCGTTCTTGTCCCCATTTTCTGCTGCATTTCTCCGTTCTTGTCCCCGAATTTAGGTCTTACTACTTCTCTACTGCTTTTCCAGCCTTCTCTCTGCCACCCTTCTTCCCACCTGTCCTTCTTCTCCCATCCCGTCTTTCTCTGTGGTAGTCTCTCCGTCTTACTTCTCCCCGTGGGTCCACCTGGCACCACGTGATAAGCCAGCAGCAATGACATAATCGCAGCGAGGGCATCTGCCTATCCCTGCGACCTCCCGCCCACCGGCTGGTGAGACCAACTCTGCCCCCTGGCCCCAGGCCAGCCACCATCCCACAATGGCCCTTCCTATTCCGGCTTTCCTATTCTGGGGAGCGGCTTCAGCACCCCACTCCCCACAGATGGGGTGCCTTCATCCTGCTCTCCATGTTGTGTTTTCTTGATGCCTAAACAAAGTCATCTTTCTTTGTTGTCTTACATTTGGAATTGCTTTGTTCAAGTTGACTCTTCTTCATAGAACTTTGTGCTATCAAAGTCTATTTACTGAGAATTTTCTGGAAGTAATATAAGCAAGCAGGCAGGTTTGCATGGCAAGACATCAGTGAGTCGGGACCTCTCTAGAGATCGATGAAGGGCATAAAGTCTGGACTGAGAGGGAGAAGGGACTCCTGTGAGGCTATGGATGCTTACTTATTAAATGCCGCCATGCAGCGTCAGGGCTAGCAGGAGTTCACAGGCCCCGGGACATGTGCTGACACTGATGGAGGTTCAAACTGGCTGAAGCTTCCTATAGGATGGGAAGTCTATGCCGATAGGGACTGAAAGATTCTGTCAGACACTTAAAGGCGATTTTCTTTATTTTTTGTTGTTGTTGTTTTTGAATTCTAGTAGTTTTAACAGGTTGCAAATTCATTGATCAATGTTAGAATAGCTTTGGTATAACTTGTTTGTTCAGTGGCATGTTATAGCTTTTAGCATGGTTTGTTTTTTTTTCATCAAATATGCCTGCAAGTTTAAATTTTTATTTCAAATGAAATGTATATGCCTATTGGGAGCTTTTTGTTTATTTTTCCTTTTTGATGGGACACACAAAAATCTTTTCAGTAGATGCCACTTGATGTGCTGGGTACATTATTTTGGATATTATCATAAATTCCCATCACTCTAAACTGCTTTTAATATCTCGTGGCCTTTTTATAAAATGAAAAGGATTAAAAAACTCCATCCTATTTATATTTGCTTGACATTTTCTTATTGGAGATCCTGAGGGTTCAGATTTTGATTAACATTACGTTCATCTAACAACATTAAACATAACACCTCAATTGTTTAAAGCCAAGTAAATTTTCCTTTGTAAAAGACTTCCTTAGGTAGATAAGATCTCTTGAACAATCAGTCAGTAATTTCCACATGGCCTGTGGGAAGCCTCAGTCAGCTGTCACTAGTTGCCTGTGAGCCTGGGTCTGGCCCCACCACACTGTGACTGGAAAATTGTTGACCCCCTCACATCACATCCCCCCTGCCTGCCATCCAGCGCCCTCCCATGCCCTCCCCCACCATTCTCCCTGCCATCCCCCATAATCCCCTGCCATTCCCTGCCCTCCACATCGCCCTTTTCCCCTCCAGCCAAAAGAAAGGGGAGTTCATCTTCCTGCATCTTTTTAAAATGTAGGGACAAATCACTGTTGCCCACAGTGTTTCAATACACTAATATTTTTTAACTATTATTTTATTTTGGTGATCTTTACACTGTTGATTAGGTTGTGAAGGGTCAAAGGCTACAGGAAAGTGGGTAAGACCATTGTTTCTACATTCTCTTTTTTCCTTCCTGTATCTGTAGGGAGGAGAGAGAAACGGGAGAAGCCAAACCTAGCCTTCCAATCATCCCAGGGTCCCCTATGTGGGGCATGCTTTGAGGACATTACTCAAGTGGTTTTGATAGTTCAGCAGTTGTATGTTTTTTGCCGATCTTGCCATTCCAAGCATGATGCAATCTCTCCAGAATCTATTGGTTGACATAACCCACCTGAGATTCTCCACTTGCCCAGATATTCACTGCCAACACTTGGCTGGGGTAGTTGATCAATTTGTTCTGTCCTCTGTCATGGTACCAGGTGTTCTTGGCAGGCTCCAATGTATTGCCATATTCTCCATGTACACCTGGATATGCCATCCACTGCTCCATCTGAGTCACTGAGGAGGCTCAGCTTTGATACAAGCATTCGACAATCAGACTATGGAACCTGCAGTTCTCTTCATGGTTGGGGTTCTGAGTCCAGCAATTCAGTTGAGGGGAATCACCAAAGAAACTGAGGTGATCCCAGACCTAATTCTTCTGTGTGCTTGCCAGTACAGGGTCCAGCACAGTCTGTCACCCCAATTAGCTTATACGTATGCTGCTGGTTGCAATTACAGGATCAGTTCTGCCTCCAGCCTTGTCTTCTACACAAACCAATGGGTGTTGCAGCCCAGTCCTGCCCACCACACACTCCTCCCTCACACAAATCAGTGGGAGCTGCAGCCTAGTTGGGGTGACCCAAAATAACTCCCACCAGGCCTGCCCCCTGCCATGTTCCCATGCTTGCTAGTGTGTATAACAGACTTGTCCAGTCTGTTCCACATCCCATTCAGCTGTCATATGTGTCAATGAGCACTGAAATCTAGTTCAATCCAACCAGCCCCACTATCTAACCCATACATGTGCCGGTGGTGTCACTCTCTGTCTAGCCATGCCTGCCTGAGTCCTGTTTATCATGCATTCCAGTCAGATTGGCAACCCAAGAGGAAGGTGCCCACCCTTTCCCTAATGGGCCCACTCCCACTCCTGGATCATGTGCTCTCTAGGTGGTTCTGCAGTTTAACTTGACAGAATTAACCCCTGGTGCCAGCGTCTGCCAGCCGATGCTGTGGCAAAGCCTTGAACAACCCACACCCAATCTGACTTATGCTTACATCAGTAGGAACAGTCAACTCAGTCTGACATTTCTCTGATCCAGCTCACATGAGGCCAGCAGGTGTTGTATCCCTGCCCAGTATGGTCTGCCCCATCCCAATTCATGCTTTCTAGTAGAAGTGATGGTCATCAGGATAGCCCCTCGTAGCCCACCTGCCGGCTTTTGTCCCCTTCCCCCCAGTTCTCACGTGTGCTGGTTGGGTGCTGTGGCCCAGTCTGGCATGACCCATGTCAACTTGACATTTGCCAGTGGGTGCTATAGCCTTGCCGGGCCCTGCCTGCCCCCAGTCCCTGCTCATGCTGGTAGGGTCTACATCCTAGTGCAACCTAGCTGGCACCCAATCCTAGCCCTCATGTTTATTGGCATGTGTTGTAACTGAACCTGGCCTGACCCACACTCCATTCTGGTGCTCTGATTTGCCAGCAGGTAATGTGGACTGACCCTGCCTGGTTCACCCCAACCTGCGCCAAATGTATACTAGTGGGTACCATTCCCTGGCCTGGTCTGGGATGCTCCCTGTCATGGTTCTTGCACTCAGCTGCAGAGACTGTACCAACAGAGGAGTTCCCCAAGTTCCTCCATCAGAACCTCTCCTAATGCCAGATCTTGCACATAACACTGGGTCCATGGGTCAGTCCTACTTAGTCCACCTCTTGTCCTAACAGGAACAGTGGCCTTTCCTGACCAGCCTTCAGCCCATTCTGGTTTTTTTTATTATTATTATTGTTGGATATTACAGCTCAGCCAAGCCTGGTCCACCTAGCTCAGCAGGGTCAGAGACCTAGCCTAGCCTGTCCTACTCCTACCCTGGTTCTCACGAGCACCGGTTGGTGCTGGAGTCTAGCCCAGTTAGGCACACCCTAGACCCAGTCCACACTTGTGCCAAGTGACACTATAACCATATCATGATCAGAATGCAGCGCCTACTCTGTCTGCTGCACTTACCAGTGGGAACCACAGCCCAGCCAGGGCATCCCTGTTTGCTCCCCAAAGAGACCTGTTCCCAGCCATAGATTTTGCATGTGCTAGTGGTTTCTCTGACCCAGCCTGGCATAGTCCCTCACTGTCTTGACCTTTGCATTTGGATGCTGTAGCCTGGCCTGATTTGGCCTGCCCCCAGTCCCAACTCTCTCCAGCAGGTGCTGCAACCTGGCCCTGATCAGTCTGTTCACATTCCTGGTTCATGTAAACGGGTAGGTATGAAAGCCTAGCCTGGCATGCCCTGTGCTACAGCCTGGTTTCTGTACTTGTCGGTGAGCTAAGGTTTGCTCTGCCCTGTCCATTCTGCCTCCCTCCAAGACCAACACACATTTGCTAATAGTTAGAGCTACCCCATCCAGCTTGCCTGATCCCCAGGCCTGGACCATGTGATCACTATTGGGAGCTATGACCCGTAAGGGGAGTTTCCCACATTCCCCCACTTGCCCCTCCCAGACCCAGGTCTCATGCATGCCAGCAAGTATTAGGTCCTTGCCCAGTGCAGCCTGCCCCTCCATCTTGATTTTTATGAGCTAGTGAATATTGCATCCCAGCCTGCCCCACACCCTGATTTAGGATGGATATGTGGGTGCTGCAGCCCATATATGCCCAGACTATTTTTAATCCCTGTACCCATAGCGATGGCAGGTTCCATGGTGACAC